TCCCCCTCCCCCTGGTCTGCAGACCAGGGGGACGGGGAGCAAAGCAGAGCAAAGCCACAGAGCCCGAGGGCAGCAGGATAGCCATGGCGCGTCTGGGCTGTCCCGCTGCCCCCGTGCTCCGCCGCTTTGCTCCGGACGCCTGTGGTACAGCAGCTGGGGCGCTGCCGATTGGTCCCGTAGCGCCGCTCTGGGCGCCACTGGACCAACCCAGCAGCACCCTAGCTGCTCTGCCCCAGGTGTCCCCAAGTCAGCAGCGGCTGAATCTGGACGCCAGTTCCGACTTACATACAGATTCAACTTAAGAACAAACCTACAGTCCCTATCTTGTACGTAACCCGGGGACTGCCTGTACCTTGTATCAAGTCTGGTTGTGACAAAGCTATAACCTTTCAGTCAAACTGAATCCAGTTTGCTTCTGCCAGCGAGGCTGATTCCCTACAACAAAAGGTAAAGGTATCACTGACAGGGGCAGAAGGTGGGGCTGACTAAGTAGATCTGTAACAGTTGATAAATGACTGCAGAGCATGGCATGACAGACAGGGATAAGCACAGCCAATCACACTGCCCAAATCCACCAGTGGGGGGCAGCAGAGTATGCAAGTATGTCTCAGATGTCATACATGCCTTCGAGTGCCAGCAATGCCCCTCTGCCATGTACATTGGCCAGGCTGGACATTTCTGTGACAAAGGATAAATGGGCACAATCAGACATCAGGAATGGTAACACACAGACCTGTCGGGGGATATTAACCTGCCTGCTCACTCAGTCATGGATTGAAAAGTAGCTATCCTTCTACAAAGGCATTTCATCAGCCAGTTACAGAGAGACTGCAGAATTGGACGCCATCTGCAAATTTGAGACTATTACTCTGGGCTTAAATAAAGCTATTAACAGGTTAATACACTACAAAGGCAGTTTCCCCTGCCTTTGATAGTCACATTTATACATCAAAGCTATGACGGAGACCCATCCAGCCTGACTCAATTAGCTTCATTACCATGGGTCCTATAATCGCCAGGTAACTGCTTTTGCTGTTATAGATACTCTGGATTCTGTTATTTCCACTCCAGCTCATCCAATGAAGTGGGTTGTACCTACCAAAACTCATGATTCTATGTATTTTGGTTAGTGTCTAAGGTGCCACAGGACTACTCGTTGTTTTCAGATGTCACGAACAATGTCAGCCTCTCCTATAGGGGAGACAATTGCCAAAAACCTAACACAGAAGAAACACAGAAATAGTGAATGCAGCATAAGCATGTTTGATATGTTCACACACACACACACACAGAGAGAGAGAGAGAGAGAGAGAGAGAGAGCGCTGTGAATGTAGGAGAGTGCTGTAATAACTGGAATGTTTGGATACATCTGGAACCTGAATCCCAAGGTACTATGGGGGGCATACCCCCATCGTATTGGTGAGAGATGTATGAGCACGAGATGCTGCCAGGCAGAGTTTGGGGTGAGGGAGTGTGCATGTGTGACTGACAGAGAGGTGAGCAAGTACAGGTGTATGGCATAGAGACAGACAAATCAGCTGTTCTCAAGAAGCCTGAATGGACATGTGCATCTGTGGCCTCTGGGCCATGTGCAATGGGTGGGGCAGCTGTGGTTTACCCAGAACATTTTTGTTTCTTGTTTGAATCATTCTAAATGCACCAGAAACTCGTCCGCCATTTCCCAATGAAGTGGGTGCAGTGACAGCAGCTGAAAAAAGCAGCAATGAGTCTCCCCCACATTCCTGGTCCTGTGTCTGGTTAGCAGGCTCCACTTCTTGAACAGGGGACTCCTTGATGCTTCCAGCCTTTGCACCTGCTTATATTGTGACCTTGTCAACATCGTATTTCAAGTGCAATGCATACTTCCCAGCAATCTGGAGGTCAGGCTGGGAATAGTGGCAGCCAATCCTTACCACAATGGGTATTCCAGACTGCAGGGCTACACAAGAATGGGAGAGGACAGCTGGGTTTTGTCTCCATTAAGAGGTGACAATGTAAAAATATGAGTAATGAAAGCAAAGAAAAGCTCCAGTTACACAGCAGAATGAGGAAGAAAGAAACGCTGATGACAAATGCCAGCCTCGGGAAATCTACACACACGAAGTAAAACTGAGGCCAAGGCAAGTGTCAGCTGCTGTGTTCTGTTAAAGGTAGTTTTGAATGTTTTTGCCAACAATATGAAGGCCAAGAGTGCTCTCACTCCAGTCTTTTTGATCCAGGAGAGGGGATTATAGCAGTGCAGCTGTCTTCATACTCTGTAGTGCTGGAGAAAGTGTCTTGTTCCAGGAGCCTGTGGGCCAGTATTAACACATGCTCCCCCTTCACCCCGGCTGTATGACACTTTGGTAGAATCCATTCTGTAACCTCAGAGCCAGGTGAATGACAAAGACAGATCCAAGACTAGTCTTCAGGAGAGTTACAAAGAGGAAACATAATATATCTGATGAGGTGGGCTCCAGCACATGAAAGCTTATGCCTAAATAACTGTGTTAGTCTTTAAGATGCCCCCGGACTCCTCATTGCTTTTGCTGAAACAGACTCACATTGCTCTCTCTCTCTGCAAAGGTAAACTGGATTTCTCACTAGAACTGCTGGAAATTATGCTTCCATCCAAACAAAGACTAAGCACCATCCAGAACAAAACCAGACTGTGTCTTCCTGATAATGAGGCTCTTCTGTGGAACTGTGTGTTACAGAAGCTGTTCTTTAGTGGCTTTTTTTTCTTAATGTCCCACTAGACCACGGGTTCCCAACCTGGGGTACACATACCCCAGGGGGTACGAGAAACTTGTCAAGGGGGCACGGAGAATATTTGGTAAATAACTAGATTATCCTAATTGAAATATTCCAAAAGTAGTAGTGTTAGTGAAAAAAGTTGTGGATTCTAGAGTCTAGAATTTATTTCCTTTCATATTGAATAGGGGATATGGGAAGGTTTACTAAAAGCCAAGGGGTTACGGGGACCGAAAAAAGTTGAGAAACCCTGTGCTAGAAGAATAGAATATGTGTTCCTGGTTGCATAAAAGGAAAATGTCACAAGCAAGCAGGATAGACAGAAATGCAGTAGCTGAAGTCCCAGGCAATCTGGTGCTCTCAGGATTGTATGTGAGGGATGGGGGAAAAGATCAATTGTTCCACTCAGCTTCTGAGCAAATGGGCAATTTATTTTTCATTTAATGAAGCTACTGTTCAGATCTCCAGGGACTGGGCCTGTGGGAGAATTGAGCTAGAGAACTGCCCAAAGCTAGAAAAATGGGTTGCATTTAAATCTGAAGTCCCAGCCCTGGCTCTTCTGTACTGGATGTTAGCATAGCCCATAAGCAGTCACTTCAGTTATCCTGGCAGACTTTGTGGCCTGAAGGTAATCATCACGGGCCTTGTCTACACTACAAGAAGGTTGAATTTATTATGGTCCATTTGCTAGCACCCGATTTTGTAAAGTTGAAGGTGCATGTCTCTTCTGTGTGCATGAGTTTGATGTAGCACATCCCTAGTGGGGTGGCTACCATTGACTTTGACAGCAATGCACTGTGGGTTGTTATCCCACAGTTCCTGATCCCCCTTAACATTCTGGGATAGCCTTCTAGTGCTCGGTAGGACCAAAACAGTGCAGTATTGGTTCTGGGTACATGTTGTCAGCATTCCATAATGCACTCATGCCCCCTCCTCCCCTGCTTGAAAGCAACTTCAAACAATATTTTCATGCCCTTTTCCCCCTGGTTATCTGTTTAGATGCCATAGTGATTGTTATGGGCATGAGGGATGGCCAGCAGCCTGGGGACTAAGGTGTTAACTGTACCTAGCCAGGTAGCAGTCAGCCAATAGAAATGCAGGTAGGGATTTCAAACTGAAACAAAGGAATTTTGGGGTTTCCCCTCCTTTGCCACTGAGCCAGTTTGCTCTAGATACTGAGGGAGGCAGAAGACATGTCTCTCTCCAAGAAAAAGAGTCTTCATAATGTGCAAGTAGGATAAAGTCTAGATAAATCCATCAGGTTTGATTGTTTTTTGTGTGGGACTTTGGATCTGATGTCTGTGCGGTTAGAAATGGGATTTCCTCTCTGTTATAAGTGAGTTTTGGCCCATGGGAGTCCCCATGAGTTTATTAATTGGTGAGTTTTTCCATCTAGTCATTATGCTTGTAACAGCAATATGGTTAAGATAGTAAAAGTTCTTTCTTTTTTATTAACCTGGTATTGGTTCAGTTCTGTGTCCTGGAAAATCTGTCTGTGGGATCTACATGCCTCTGACTAGGGCACAGCAGCCACAGACTGGAGTTTGTATTTTCTCTTTTATTTTCAAACTCTTTGGAGAAAAGAGCTTGGGTGCCCGGGGGTTGGTTTCAAGTGTCCACCCTGTTTGTGGGTTCAAAAGCACTTGATGGTGGCAGTGGATTTTTATCCCCCAAAAC